GCGTGGGTAGGAGGCTGCCAGGAGGTGGACGGGACCGTAGCATGTTAGGAAGCCTTGTGAAAGTGTGACAATAAAAGCCACCAACTGTACATTTAATGTGCACAAATAACTATCATTTTTTAAATTTAAGGGCCAGGTAGGTAGCTCAGTGGTAGAGTACATCCTTGGCGTGCATGATACCCTGACTTCAATCTCTGGTACCATCAAAAAAAAAAATTGTGTTAAGCTATATTTTTGTTTGCCTACCCCAGCGATTAGAGGTGACTGCAGCTCATTCCACGCATGTCCCTTTCCCGGGGCTCCCAGGCAACATACATACTTTTTTTCTAGTGCGCCCAACCAGATCTGCTTCAGTGAACATTGCCTACATCCCAAATTCCTTAAAGTGATGAATTTTGAGCAACCCTGTTTGCAATCTGTCTGGAACAGACACTCAGACTGTGGGAGTTCAGCCAGTGAGGGAGACTTGGAGGTCAAACATCCTCTGAATTTTTACTTATAACACAATATAATGATGAGCACAGAACCATCTGTTAGGACAAAAAGTCTGAAAGAAACTGCTAAGATTTTTAAACTCTTCAGCAACTAGCGGGTCCCCTTGAGGTTCAGAATTTTGGGATGTTTAATACATTTTTTTTCCTTTTAGTTTTGCAGTTTTTCATATCTTTACCCTTGTGTCTCACTCTGTCAACAAACCCAGTGTTCTATAGCATTTAATAAAAGCATGCACTCTGTAACTATACTGTCCAAGCGGTAACCACTAGCCACAAGTGTTCAATAGTTATTTACATGAACTGAAAATAAAGAAATGGAAGACCCAGCTTTTCCCTCACACCAGCCACATTACAAGCGCCCACCAGCCACGTGTAGCTTATGGCTATCACACTAGCAGAGTGATGGCACTAGCTCCACTCCCAGTACCGAATTCTGTCTCACTTACTTTTCTCTCATTGCTGGGACACCAAAAATTAAGGAAGGAAAGGCTTAAAAAGCTCACAGTTTTTGGAGGTGTTGACCACTTCCACCATCACAGAAGGTTCTCCTACAGTCTCTTTATGAAAACCCCTTACAATAAACTCCCAGAACCATTGTCAAATATATCTCACTATGACCTTAGGATGCTTTGAACCCTGGGAATCAAAGGCATGGTTGCAAACTTCACAGGATTCACTAAAACATGCCCTGGAACACACACATGACCTACATTAGCAATCAGAATTTACACTCTTTCAATCATCATTAAAATATTTTTTTCACAATTTGTACCTAAGATACAAGACTTTAATGAAATAAGACTAAACAAAGTGCATCTACATTGATTATAAAATAAATCAGTTCACTATTGCCAGTAGTGCAGATTACACTAATGACATCACCTTCCCTACAATTAAAATGAAAACAACAGCTCACTTGATTATGGCATCCTTGGTGTTAATTTCATTCCAACTTAAATAGCAATTTTCCTGATGACTAAAGGTATTAAGCTCCTTCATATGTGGTCTTTGGCCATTTTTTTTTCCTTTTGGCACAGCATGTGGTGCCGGGGATTGAACCACGCTCCCTGCACACTTGCCTAAGCAGGCGCTTTAGACTGCCGAGCTATCTCACCAAGCCTCTTTGGCCATTCTTACTATTCTTTCTGAAGTGTCTATTCAACTTTTAGGCCCATTTTTCCTAGGTTATGTGATGGATCGCATAGCTAATCAATGCCCTAAGCAGGTCTTGGGTCAGTCGTGTACCCTTGCCACTAGATGACTGGCTCTTCTGGTGATCTCATGTTGCTCTTGAGAGAAGACAGAATAACTAACATTGGTAATATCTAACAGACAATCCTCCTAACAAGACTATCTGCATAGTAAAGGTGCTTGTCCTCAACATATCCACCGGCTCTGGGTCCTTCCATACAGAGACTTCCACTTCAGAGAATGTGAGACTTCTGGATTTTTCTGGTCAGCTGTTGTCCTGGGCTGGCACAGGCCACATGGATGTCCAGACAGCAGACAGCCACTGGGAGTAGTTATCATTGTCTTTGTTCAGGGGCAAGAGTCTTTCTGTGCCTATTTTATAGAGGGGGGAAAAATCCCTAACAAGCAAACTGCAAATAAGGATTAGCAGTAACCAACTCTGGAAATTAAGTCAGTTCTCAGGAGTCTATAAAGCCCTTCTTTTCCTAGGCTTTGCCGTGACAGCGCCTGCTGAGACCGACACACCTGGGACACGGCAGGTGGATTGTATGGAAGTGCTGCAAACGCACAACGGATGGAAATGATTCTGTCTCTTTAAATCGTCATCAGCGGCCCTCCTTGGGCTTCCTGAGCTCTGAGGCTCAGTGACTTCCTCTGCGGGCCTCTGGGGGAATGAGCCTCCCCCACTCACAGCAGAAGGGAAGGCAGGAGGTCAGGGCGTCTCCGAGCTACTTCAGAACCTGTCACCAGGAAAGGTGAGCGGAAGCCTGGGAGCTGGGAGCTGGGTGGGCGCCCCGAGACCAGAAAGGCTGTGGTCCCTGGAGGGGGCTGCCGCCTGGGCACTTGCATTCTACTGAGTGCCTTGCGGGTGGTTAGGACGTGTGAGTCAAGATCCTGCTTCTGAGATCATACAGATGTCCGGTTCAAGCTTCCAACAGCAAGTTCAGAGGAAGTCTTAGGAGCATCTTCCCTGAGCACACGCATTCTTGATGGGAGTGAAGAACTTCCTCTTCTCACACTTCCTAAACATAGTAGTGAAGCGCGTGCCAGGTACACTCCCAGAACTACTGTGTTTAAAGGACACTGAACATTCCCCAAGTTGCATATTCACAAAAGCAAGATGTTTCTGTGTCCCCATAAGCAATCTAATCTTGAGAGAAAATGCCAGTGTGACAAGTGCGGGCCCAAGTCCACCGTCCCAGCGCCTCCTCCCCGTCTACAGTAGAGGGACTTCAGGAGACACTTCAGACCAGGAAGTTCTTCAAGCCATTAACCTGCAGGCCCCTTAAATATCTGTGCCCTGAGTCAAGCTTCTCCTGCCCCATCTGTGGAGATACCTCACTGCCTCCTGTGTACGTGGGAATTTAAAAAATACCAGAGTTGTGGGCAGATTGTATCAGAAACATCCCAGTCATTGAATCTGAATCTCTGAAAATGGGTTCAAGAAATGTGAATTTTGACAGAACACTCATGTCATTAGAAAACAATAGGTTTACAGGGCAAGGAACTGGATGAACTTGGATGTTTCCTTATATTATTAATTAGAATTCTACCTGTTTTATACTCCTAAATAATTAAGATACTTTTATCACCCCAGATTTTAGCTGAGTTTGCTTCTTTCTTTCTTTCTTTTTTTTTTTTTTTTTTTTTGTGGAACTGGGGATTGAACTCAGGGCCTTGGGCTTGCCAGGCAAGTGCTTATTCCACTGAGCCATCTCCCCAGCCCCTACTTCTTTCTTAAGCACTGCTTCAAATCAACACCCACTGCAGACTGTGGGAAGCTCCAGGCCCACCCCGAGTTCCTGCCAGCATCCTTCCTGTTTCCACTTCCAACAGGACTTTGTGCTCCAGCAGGGCTCCTGTTCTTAGCTCTCTACCCCGTGGCTACCGCTGCACTTCTGCTCTCCTACCAGTTATGGGAGTCAGATGGGGACTTTACTGCAGGCTTTGGGGAGGTGGCTGGGGGGCAGCTGCACAGCAGAGATGGCTTTGGGCTGAGCTAGCTGGGTGAGCTTGTGCCTGGTGTTCCTTGGCCTCAGACAAGTTTTTCAGCAGACCTCTCTGCTTTGCTTCGTGTATGGAGCCAATAGGGAGCAATCAGATCACCTGCGGTAATCATGGTGGAAGAACTTGAGATGATGCTAAAGTGCAGATGGGAACTGAGACAGAAATGTGGGAGAGGATCCACAGTCACAGGGCAGAAAGGATGGAGCGGGCTGGAAGGAGCCTGGAGTCTGCTTATGTGGAATAGCTGACTCTGGGGGGGTTAGCTGGAGCCAAGGCTGGAGGAGCAGACTCAGGGGAGATGGTGCACTGGTGCTCAGGAATCCTGGGATCCTGCAAATAAAGGATTCAATTATACTAAATTAATGTTAGAATTGGGCATCCCATCACTTAGAAAATTCTCGGGTTTGGGGACAAGAAGCCCAGTGGTGGAAGGGAGTGCCCTGTCCCTCCACACATAGGTTTCACAGAGACCAATTGATGTGGTTTGACGGGAGCAGAGCCAGAGACTTTCCAGGTCAGACAGGAGAGAGGTGTATCCTCCCATTTCCAAAAGAATGGTTACAGGTTTTCTTGTTTCCCAGGCCATACTAGGGACCTAGCATGGGTCCTTAATTCACTGTATACATTTTCCAGTTCTCAGAGTTGACCTGTCTCCCAGATGTTGAATCCCAAGGGCAAGTCTAATGTCTGTAGTTCTGGCACTGACCTAGCATTACTGGGATGTTTGTTTTTTGAGAAAGGGTCTCGCTATATGGCCCAGGCTGGCCTGGACCCCACAGTGATCCTCCTTCCTCAGCCTCCCCAGTGCTGCAATTACGGGTGCACGCCACCATGCCCGGCCTACTGGGAAATGTTTAATCTAAAGCCATGCACTGTGTGGAGTCATTGTTACACATTTTTTTCTGCATCTGAAGTGTCCCCTAAAAATCAAATCCAACCTCACAAAATGTTTTTATGGTGTGGTTACAGCCCAAAGTCAGAATGTTGGCCAAGATGAAAACTCAAATGGGCAAAAGGTATTGCTGTAGTCCCATGAGCAATCTAGCCTAGAGATGAGTCACAGTGTGACAAGTCTCAATACATCTGAGCTTTCAGGGCCTAGGTGTTTCCCTCAACTCGTCTTAATGTCATTTTCAGAAACTTGTGTTAAACCTCAAGACGAATTAGCACAGTTCCCTATAGTCAGTGACATGTAACTGCCTTCTCTCTAACCTCCTGCCCTTTACCCTAAACATCCATGTTCAGACCCCTACAGGCAGGAGCCATAGCTGATCCCTTTGGTGTCCCTCCAGCCCTTTAGTGATTTTCAAGAATGAATACATGAAATAGAGTGAACCATGTCTGGGACTCGTTCAAGGAAGATGGGAGGTTGGAAAATGGCAAGGGATGAAGAAAGCACCTATGGTAAGCATATATCTCTGCGACACAGGGTCCCCCCACCCCAGGGTGAGGAAGGGGGTGGAGCTCACCAGAACCCACACGGAGAAGCCCAGGGCCTGGAGGCTGGCAGGAAACAGCAGGGGCCTGGGACCTGCTTCTGTCAGGTGTTCTTCCTTGACCCATGTACACAGGACACAGTGGGGGTAAGAAAGCTGCTCTGGTCTCCACAGGAGGTCACAGGAGGCACCATGAGGAGCACCCGGGTGAGCATCACTCCCCAGGTACGGAGGCTCTCAAAGAAGGTGCCAGAGTGAGCGTCACTTGCGTTCAGCCTCCTGTGTCAGCACACAAGGAAGGAAGGTTAAAGCATCCTTCCTTAGGGAACAGGCTTAACAGAGAGGAGAGAAAGAGGAGGCGGGAAGGAGGGAGAACGCTGTGAAGATGGCAAGACTTCAGGCCCTAAAGAAAAGTTAGTGTGATGAATGCACGCAGTAGATCACAGTAGATGGCGCGTGCATACATTAAAAGCGCATTATAATAAAGGCGCTTTGCACTCTTCCTCTTCACCATCTCCCCCCGCGCGTTGGAGACTTTTACTCTGCCGCTCTCGCCTCCGTCCGAGGCAGCTCTGGAAGTCCTCTTTCCTGAGCGTCTATGAGCTGTGACAAAAGTGTAGTGAATGCCGCTGCCGGCGCTGCCTACCAGAGGGGCGGGCTCCTTGGCAAAGCGTCGCCCGTGTCCTCGTCTGTCCTGTTCACTGGGCTGGCGCCCAGTGACTTCTGCCTCCTCCCCACAGCCAAGAGGACGAGAAAGGCAGATGCTCTGACTCTGTCCAGAACATCCAGGCAGCCACCCAGTGCGGCTAAAGACACTGTAGGAAGACGCTTGGACAGTGGCAGGAGTGGTGGGAGAGGTGTGCGAGCGGGATTCTGGGGGAGCGGCACAGCAATGTCTTCGACTGTAATAAATATTTTTCATCGAAACATTCACCATGTTTGCTCCTCACACTTGGTATGACTGTAACGTTTTGCCCTCCCAGCCTCTAGTGACGACCTGGGGTCCCCGCAGGAGTCCCAGCTGAGGCTCATCTTGGTGGGCAGATCTGGCACCGGCAAGAGCGCCACGGGAAACAGCATCCTGGGTCACAGGCGCTTCCTCTCCAAGCTCGGAACCACAGCCGTGACCAGAGTCTGCGCGGCCGCCAGCCGGAAGTGGGGCCGGTGGCACGTGGGCGTCGTGGACACCCCGGACATTTTCAGCTCCGAGGTCGACGTGACAGATCCCGAGTGCATGGAGAGAGGGCGCTGCTATCTGCTGTCCTCCCCGGGGCCGCACGCGCTGCTCCTGGTGACCCAGCTGGGCCGCTACACCGCCCAGGACCAGGAGGCGCTGAGGAAGATGAAGGAGCTGTTCGGGGAGAACGTGCTGGCACAAACCATCGTGGTCTTCACCAGGAAGGAGGACCTGGCCGGTAGCTCTCTGCAAGATTACGTGCGCTGCACAGAGAACCAGGCCCTGCGGCAGCTGGTGGCAGAGTGCCACGACCAAGTCTGCGCCCTCAACAACCGGGCCACCGGCAAGGAGCTGGAGGCCCAGGTGGAGGAGCTGCTGTGCGCGGTCGAGGCCTTGGTGCGCGAGCGCGGGGGCGCGCACTACACCAACCCGGTGTACGGCGTGGTGCACGCGCTGCGCGAGGAGCCCCCAGAGGATCGGCTCCGAAGGGTGGCGGAGAAGCTGGCGGCCTACGTGCACCGGTCTCGCGGAGCCAGGTTGCTGGCCTGGCTGTGGAAGTGGCCCAAGTCCTACTGGGTGGGCAGGAAAAGGGGCATGGCCATCCTTCTGGGAGTCACCCTCCTGGTGTATGTGTTGTTGTATAGGCGTGTGTCCCAGGCCCTTGGGGACCCGAATGATAGATAGCACAGACATCAGAAGCCTCTATCACTTGGCAGGGAAAAGACCGACTACTTAAGCGCGGAAGGAGAAAATTAGAACTTCATCCCAAAACGAGTCCTGCAGTTTCACGCTCAGAGCTTTGAAGACATGGGAAACTTGGAACATTGCATCCAGCTTGCGGAGGCTCAGAGTGCACTTTCAAGGGGTTAATTCCCAACTTTTAACTCTATTAATGAAAATTAATTTGTCTAATTTAAAAACTTCCTGAAGACTTTTTCATAATCCTCGTGCATTTCTCCTCTCTGGAAAAACAGTGAAGTGACCGATAGCTTAGAGTGGGACGGATTCATGACACAAAGATAGAACATTTTCATGTTGAATATCTTCTAAATTGTGACTGCCACCCCGATTATTCTCTAGTCCTTATATATAGAAGTAGTGTCCCCTTAATGTCCCCATGGACTTCTATCATCAATGAACAAGATGCCAGCATTATCCATGTTAATGTCTATTCTGAATCGTGTACTTATTTGTAGGATGATTTACTATCAAACAGATAACTATATGCTGACAAGAACACAGTTTATAATTTTATAGCAGCTGGCCTCTCTTTCCAAATTAAAGTAGAATATTGAGGGGAAAACAATATGTGTCTTCATGTGGTCATTTGGATTTTATGCAGTATATTTTTGCATGCATATAGGTATCTATTGTTATGACACAAATGTAATATTACATAAAGAGAGCTTCTCTCTGTAAAAAGATGTCTTAATAATGGGGGGAAAGGTCAGTACCAGACTGCAGGCCAAAGAACCTTGAGTGCAGACTGGTGCAGATGCAATATTGGGTTCTAAAGGATGGGCCAGTTCATGAAAGTTCTTGAACAGCGTATCATTAGACAACTGGATGCTGACTAGTTGTCCAAGGCAATCAATAGAGTGTTTCCATTTCATAATAATGAGTCATGGCTACCCTTTAGGGGTTGTCATTGTCTTTAAATCAGCCAACCTGCAGTCATCACGTGGAGACAGGAAAGGAGGCAGTTATGCCCAATGAGCTGAAAAAGGAAGAGGGCTGCTGTGTGCAGGAGTCCTAGAAACCTCCTTCACCCCTGGTTAGGATGGAGGGCTGCAGCACATGTTCACAAGTGTCACACCCAACTAAGGGCCTCTTCAGGCTTGAGGTGGGTCACAGGCTTGGATGAACTGTGGCCAAGTGGCTTGATGCCCACGAGGGCCACTGCAGTGAGTTGAGTACTGTGAAGTATGGCTGGAGGAAAATCCATTCTTACTTCCACACTTTAGCTTCCCAGGAGCCTGGCTGGATCAACACAGTGGGCCAAGAGGGAAGTGACTTTCGAAGGTCTGAGCAGGCATCAGCATCAGGCTAGTGGACGGGGAGAACATCAATGTGGTGGCCCAGGGCTGCCTGCGCCAAGCTGCGCTGCCCTGGGCCCAGGGCCACTTGCCAGCTGGGCTAATGTTGACTTGTTCTTTCATTTTTTCCAATGTCTCACACACCTGTCCACAAAGGGTCTCTCATGTTTGTCATTATTATTGCTGTCTTCTTGTAAACATAAATGTGATTTTTAAAATAAATACTATGATTTTAAATTATGGTTTAAATTCTTTGTAGATCTTAACATGTGAAGTATACCTGGATCAAAGAAAGACTTGACATTTATGGGTACAGTGACCAAGTTGGGACATTACCCCACATGGTAGGGACAGTGAAGGCCACAGGTTGAGGGGCACATGCACTGAGGTACTCTGAGATCTTGGACTAAAATTTTCACTAAAATTTACATATTAATATGAATCTTTATGGTATACATGTGTGACGAAATAATATGAGCAAAATCTCTTATAGGTTAAATTCCATACCACAAAACATCTAAGACATAATTTTTGAAATAAACAGATGTGTGTGTATGTGTATGTGTGTGTCTGTGTGTGTGTGTGTGTGTGTGTGTAGTTGAAGGTCTAGTAATAACATAATATCAGTGTCTTAGTCATTTTCACTGTTGCTAGGACCAAATACTCAATACCCACAAATTAAAGAAGGAAAAGTTTATTTTGGCTCACATTTTAGAAGTCTCAGTCCATATTTGGCGAGCACAAACACAGACACCACACGGTGGCCTCACCCCAATGGCATAGCTGGTTGTAGCTCTCACGGCCTTTCTTTTAGGGTGGCTCTGTTCTCTGCCTGCTGCTTTCCTCAGCTGCCACTTCAACTGCATGGCATCACTAACTTCCTGAGTTCTCCACTGCACCTTTGGCTTCACTCTCACAGCTTCACGCATTGCTCTCTCAGGAGCACACTACTGAGCTCCCCAAGAATCCTTCGGAACTCTAAGTGAAGGCTCCCTCACCCACAACCCTTGGATTTTGCATGTCTATAAAATTAGGACCATATGGATGACTCCAAGGTCTGCTGACAGTTGCAGCAGCAGTTGGGCCCCCTTGGATTATGGTTGCAGAGGCTTCTGAGTGCCTGGAATGTTGAGCTTCAAGAAACTCTTTCCTAGTTGGCCCATAATAAGCTAGGTTTCCTCGCGCTCTCTTCTCACAGAAAAGTCTTTCAATTCTGTAGGGTGAAGAACACTTCCCATTATCCTGAAGCAATTACTTAGCTTGTTTTTAATGTTCATCTTTTCAGCAACCAAATGTGGGCCAAAATTTTGTAAGCCCAAATTCTAGAGGACCATCAATTCTAGTGAATCTCAAAACATTTCAAATCATTCAACTGTGCTGTTTGCTCTTGATTTTCAATTAAGAACTGGCTAAAAGCCCATAGTTGTACCATGCCACAATCTGGATGTGGATTGCCTTGAACTTTCCTCTGCCAGATTAATTACTCAATCATCTTTAATATTAGTCTCACACAATGTCTTAGGACATGAGAAAAACCTTGAAAAATGTTTTTTTTTTTTTGATTTTTGAAAAATGTAACATTTTATTTAACTAGAAAAACATTTCAGCATTCTAAACATACAAAAAAAAGAAAACCACAACACTGCAAATCGTGTTTAAGTACAAAGGCTTCTTGAACCTTTTTTGACTCTTTGCCAATGAAGAGTTCTACAGTTTGGAAACAAACAGTTTAACACTTAACTAAAAAAAACAAAACAGTAACAAATCCAAACCCTTCTCATACCAGCAACCCCTCTCAGCCCCCAGCTAAGACAGGGCAGCAGGACACTAGGTCACTATATACAGAAGCTAACTGGACACCTGCCACAGTCACAGCAGCAACAGGTCTAAGGGCCCTTCTCAGTGGCATCTGCCCCATGGCTCCAGTGCCAAGCAGGAAGCATCAAGGGTTAGCCTAGGCTGATTTGTTCTTTTTACCAACTCTAGATAGGTACAGTTGATAACTCAACTGTACCCTGATAACTCAGGGTTTCTAGT